AAGATGAATGCTGCACCTCTAGAAACATCTAGAGAGTATTCTTTAATGCTGGTAACATTTCTACCACCACACCGCCATTCAGTAAGTACTGTACCTTCATATCTCTAATAGTGTCTAAGGGTTCGAAACCTGTACTAATCTCTTCCATTTCATCAGCACTAATGAAGCCTAACCTTTATTGAGCGCTTTACACACTTTCATTCGCTTCTTTTGCTGTTTTTTCTCGTGGTTCTCCTTCTCCTTCAGCCATATTGGTCCTTTACAGTTGTACCACGTGCTACTGAGCATGCGCATAACCTTTCCTTCTTATGGCTTCCCATTATACAAGCCATATAGAACATGACCTTTTCCTCGTGGGTGTATCAGATATATACTCAAATGATATTCATAATCCCTCGGGCTACGCCCTCGGGATTATGAATATCATTTTTGTGTATATCTGATACACCACTTGGGGTCATGTTCTATATATTACTAGTACTGTATACCCGTTTATTTTTGCGGTGGAAATTTTCACGAATATTGCATTTCTAAGATTTTGTGGAATTAATTTTCACAAATTGCTTGCAGACTGCACCACGTGGCAATGGAAAGAAGAATTTTGTGGTGAAAAATTTTTGCAAATGATCACCAAACCACGAAATTTGCAAAAATATTTTACTCCATAAATAAACCGGTATATATACGGTATTAAACTTAATGGGTGTGGCTTAATAACTTATTGATATTAGATATTGGTATCGTCATTTTTGAGCCAATATTGTATCATATCGTATTGTTTAAAAATTTTGATATCGCCTAGCACTGCTGTGTTTTATAGATTTCCAGTTTCCTGTTTCATGAATGGGCAGGTGGGCAGTGTAACTAAACAATATGATTATTCATTATCACTTTATAAACTTTGTGTGCAAGATTAGATTATTAATGCAAAACTGCAATAATTAATAGTGATGCAGTACATGTACTTTGTGGGTGGTAAATTATCGTAACTGTATGTATGCTACAGTATATATTTGTTGTATCTTTTTATCATAGAACATCATGTTTTTGCCATCGATATTTTTAATAATCATCATACTATCCTGTCTCAGTCTCTTTGTGATCCTGTTAGTATTGCTTGGCTACTTTATGGTGAGCATATGTTAACACAAGAAGCAGTTAGTAGAGTGGTGTCAGCGAGGCCCTCTATTCCTAATCAACGTGAGGCTCTATTAACTGCTGTCAAAGAAGCTGTTCAAACTGATCATAACAGTTTACATACATTTGCTAAAGTGTTGTGTACAATCAGTACTAATGTATCACTGGGACTAGCTATACTGGATGATATTAGTAAGTATGATAATAATTGTTGTATATCCTAATGAACAAATGTATAACGTTAAGACTAAACATATTCATGTGCGGGCGAGTAAGAAGGTTTGTCAAGACTTACAATTTTAATTATGTGTAATATTCATAATTGTTGATGTGGGATACATGTACATGTACTTGTGCATGTACAGTATGTTAGCGGGAAATGAAGGAAATTATAATACCGTATAGCTTGAAATTTTTGTGAATGTAAATTTTGTGATTTTCGTGGTTATGGGCTGCCCACGAAATTTTAAACCCAGGAAATCATTGAAGTGCCATCCCCTTACAGGCTATGTAAACTGTCAACCATGAAAATTTAACCACGAATTGCCCCACTAGGAGCAAACCATGAAAATATTGACCCACAAAAATTTCAAGCTATACGATACATGCATTACTGGTTGTTTAATTGTGTTTAGGTAAGTATTCTACAGATGTGGTTCCTGAGAATATTAAAGATCCTAATCTACATGTACAAGGTAATAATGGGTAATGCATTCTTGCCTCTTGGTAATAATTATATGATAAATGATTAGATAATACAAGTTCTGATGAAACCAAGATAATAGCTAAAAATCAACCTAGCGCTGGTATGTCATAAACATAGCAAATAATTGATGCATATACATGTAATTTGTTTTACACGATCCTCTTTCTCAATCTGTATCACCTAATTGCACATGTTATATATCTTTTACAATTTACATACATGTACTAATTTTTTATAGAGAAGTAATAGTGTCTTTTGTAGTACAAGTTCCTGTTTCAAAAAGTTTACTGGCAGACTTTACTTCAATGAGATTGTCTTATGCAAGGATGATTTTCAATGTTGGCAAGATTATTAAAAGAAAATCTCCTCCTTTAGATGATATAAAAGAATTCCTGTCTTGTTGTAACTCTGTAAGGGAAAAGGTGAAAGACTGTAATGATATTCGTAGTGTCTTGTGTCTTATTCAAAATGAGTGCTCACTGACTAATATTGAATTCCTTGGTAGTGTAGTGGAAGAAATGGAGATCACAGAAGCTACAAAATACATTGAGGCATATAGAACAGAATTAAAGGAATTCTGCAATTCACTCTCTATCAATCTTG